CTGCAAGATGCTATCCTATCAATATGGGCCAACATTTCTAAAGAATGCTTTCAGCACCTTGTTGAATCAATGCCACGTAGAATTAAGGCAATTCTGAAGGCGAAAGGGGGTCAAACACTGTATTAGTATGGTGTTCCTAATAATCCTTTAGGTGAGTGTATAATGCAGTACTTAACTATGTTTTTCCTTTCAATGCTTTAACTTCTTCTAGCATATTTGTATAACTTTGCCACCCTGACTACGGTAAGTGGTTAGGAGATGGATGATTTATATTTTTTTTATAAAAGAGTTAGCCACAGCTTTTCATTTCCAGCAATTTTATTTCCAGAGCCAAACAGAGATAAAATGTGTTTGTTTGTTTATTTAGTAGGCTACAATCATTCTGCACTGTCAGGCACATTTTATACTGAATTCTCTCTGTTAGTTCCTCCTCCAGTTGTACCCCTTTCCATTCCATTTGTTGTCTTCCTGGTACTGGGAGCTCTTCTCTTCCTGCTGCTGGTGATAACAGCTGTCCAGTTGTACCAGAACAGAGTGCGGAAGAGAGGTACAGAAGTATAGAGCTGTAGGGTGACTCACATTAAGAATAATCTGTCTGCATGGTTCATATGAAGTCTGTGTTATTCTCTACATTTTCCATTGTTGGCTTTAGTGATAGACAGACAGCGGGTCAGGGGTCATGTGACAAAGGGAATTAGCCTATAGCAACAGACTAATTTACAAATATTTTGCTCCTAGATTTATTTGACAATGGGGTAGGATTGAGATAAAACTACACAAAATTAAACGAACTGCTCACAAATAAGGAGACACTTCATACACAACAGCAAAGGACACTATTGTTCCCATGATTATTTAATAAGCCATAATACACAGATTTGCAGAAATGGGGGCTTTAGATTAAAGTGAGAAATGTAGCCTGGACTGTCAGCTGTGTCTCTGTATGTCCACCTCCACAGCTCTGTACCAGGAGGGTCTCACCACTCTGCATGAGGCCATTTATGAGGAGGTAGAGTACAATCTGACCCGGGGGGAGACCTACAGAGCCCCTCGCAAGGGTGAGTTAATCTCCTCAACCTCCGCAGAAACAGAAACAGAAACTTTTACATTCACATGGTCACACATATTAGAATGGAATGTTATGGGGCAGTGAATTTCCAGCCATTAGAGGTTTTATACATCTTTATCAGATATCTGCAGAAAAATGTATCAGCATGTGTATCTGTGTCCTTCTTGCTGATTTTTTACTGTGTGATTAGAGCTCAGAAACCACATGAGGGCCTCATAGCTTCATTGCTGTAAAGCCCTGAGGGTGAGAGAGAAACCAGCCAATAGGGAGGAAGACGATGTGGACAATATGAGTGTCAGTCAGCTTGCCTGAGCATGAGCATTAGCTACTCTAACCCCACACATCCTGTCTTCTCAGTTTGAGAGACATAAGCAGAGGAAACTTCATGCAGAGTCTCCCTGAGCACAGGACTGACTGTCTCTCTCCTTCACAGGAAGTGTCCTCTCTGAGGAGCTGCCCTCTGGGTATGAAGATGTGGAGGACAGTGAAGGAGACCTTCTCTCAGGTAGGGGGCTGAGGTCTGTGAATTTGTTACGGTTAACGTTTAGTAATAGGAACCCTCTTTTAACACTATGAAGGGCATCATTAGTCTTTAATAATTATGTTTTACCTCAGTGTCACGCCCCGCTCCGTCCGCTCCCGATGTGTGCCACGCCCACCTCGTTACCTCGTGTTCAGCCCTAATTGTGA